TCTTATCATTCGAATGTACGTAAAATTTTATCCATTTCGACCTAAAAGAATTTAAAATAGTTCTTTCTTTAAACAAAATCTAGGGACAGCGGTTGTATATTCGTACAGAAGTAAACTTTTCCTCGTGCCTGAGAATTACACTCGTGAAATTCATCGAGGTTTCATAATAAATTTTCTGCATCCGTTAATCCTTCGACTGCTTAAAATTATTGAAAGTTAAAAAAAAATGTACATTTTTAAACACGATATATTTACTCGACATCTTCTTCTTCTATTTTTTCTTTAATGTCGCATCGACAGCGAAGTCATTAGCGACGACGTTGCCATTAGATATGAGTGTAGGAGTTTATGTTTTTGAGGTATTTTAGTACTCTTTGTATGTCATTTTGAGAAGTCAGGTTTATGTTTGCGTTGATCCCGTATTTCTGTCTTTGGATTTCTGTGGTGTGGCATTCGTGCAGTATGTGGGTTATTGTTAGTGGATGGTTATTGCAATGAGCGCAGGTGGGTGGTGAAGTATTTTTGATTTTGTGTTCATGTGTCAGCTTGCTATGGCCGGTTCTTAGGCGTGAGATAATTATTCCTTCTTTCCTGTTGGTAAGGTTTGTTGTTTGCTGGTGAAAGTCTTGGATATTTTTGTGTTCTCATAGTATTCTCCTTAAACAAGTAAATTATTCTGTTATTGATTACAAAATCATCTGTCGAATCAGCGCAGATTAAGCACTAGATTAAACGTACGTGGCGTACAAGATTCTTTCACCACCATGAATAAGATCAGACTAACTGGACAACTGTCGGTTCGTTTGTCGAAATTTCATCAACAGTGACATCGCGCTAGGGGAAATCTCTAGAGATCCCTAGATTTAGAAAGAGAGATTTCGCTCCACGAGGAGCTTTACTTTGACAACGTAAGAGAATAAATCGAAGAAAGATGGGCGAGCGAGACGAGGAAAGTAAACAAAGTGGAAGAACGCTAAGAGCCAAACCAGTCACCCAACGGTCTCGATATATTTCTGGCTCTCGGAGCGAGTTACCGATTCGGACGAATCTCGATTAATCGGTCGGGCCGGCGTGGTGCATCGAGAGCAGGGAGAGAAAGGGAGGAGGAAACTGCCGGTTTCCGCGCGGACTCGCGTAATAATGACGAAACGAGTCGGCCACGTCGACCCACATTTATAAATAGAGAAGGCCTCGTCTACGTCGGGGTGACGGCGCGGTGTGTGTCACCCCAGGAATACCACGCTCGACCGAGTGACCGACCGAGCGAGATCGTCGGCTGTGAATGGGCCTTCTTCGCCGCCGCGAAACGAGAAACGAAAGAGGTCCCTCGCTTGAAAGCCATCGCTCGTAAACGTCGTTTCCACGACAAAGTACACACACTTTCTCTCTCAAGGGGAAATTTTACGGCGCGGATAACGCCGGTTAACGTCGATCGTTGGACACGTTGGCGGCGATAGGAACAAGAGGGACTTTGAATCTTACTCCTATCGGCCGATCGTGAACAAAGATGGGTGGCCGTTTAGGCGAATAGTTTCGGGAATGAGATTTAGAGATTTATGCATTGATTGGAATTTCCAGCTGGGACTGACTCTTTCACGATTACTTGTTTGTTTGGAACGAAAGGCAGAAAGTTTATTTTATGGCGTTTCGCTTCTCGAAATAGTTACATACGTACATCGACGAATTTACTCGAAATTGTCATAAAAATAAAAGTAAGAGATTACTCGTCAAGCAATTTTCGTTTCTCATCCTTCGCGCCAGCTCTTCGGAATAGTTCACAGTTAGAAGTCAACGTGTTTCACGAGAATAGATCGCAAAGTCTCTTTCGTATTGTTTGCCATTCGTCAACTGGGTGTTACGAGCGTTTTCAATAATTGTGTAACAATCGACACGGAAAACGTGAAGCGGGCGAAATACTCGACGCGTCAACGCCTGTTCAACACCGAACAACAAAGCTATTTATGCTACTTGTTCTGCAAATAGTCCGATTGGCCTGGCTCCAGATAATATTTTTCACATGCATCTAGAGGCCGCGAGGGCAAAAATTCACGAGCGTGGCGAAATATAGAAAAGTGCCTACACTGGCGCGGGAAAATCGCTGCGATGAGTCAAACGGTGCTAATATTATGGTTGGCTGCGTCTACAAGTACTACTACACTGGCATACAACTGTTACGATTATTATCGATACAACTATGTATATATAAATGAATAATTAAAATGAAATTATCAGAATTAAATACAAAATGTAGATACAAAAAAGAATACACCAAAGTATTAAAGTATATCCTAATTAGACAAAATAGGTATAAAAAGAATACACCGAAAGCATTCATATTTTAATTACTAGTATTAAAAAATGTGTTAGAATTATCAATTAAAATTACAACGATATCGACAAATATAAATAACGTGACCTGCATTGATCGAAACATAGAATCGAAAGATCACTGAAAACCATCCCTTCTACTTCGATAAAGTAAAATAAAATATGCTAAAATTAAAGCATCAAAGCATATCCTAATTATTAGTATTAAAAATTATTAAAAAGATTGAAAAGAAGTCCCAGAAATTCTCAATTGCAACAACAACGTGATTATTGCATTGATCGGTTACAATCGTAAGATTTAGAATTAAAACGAAAAAAATCATCCTTTGTACGAAAGGTGTCGAAAGTGTCGAGAAGATGTTGACTCTCGATATTGACAAACGTAAATAATAAATAAACGCGATCGGGATTGATCGATCTTACAGTCGTAAGAAATCGTCAAGTGCCGTTCCTTGTGTTTCGATGCGAGATAAAATAAAAGCGACGCAAATAAAGATCCGTGGCGCAGGCCGCGCTTTTGTTAACACGCTCGATGCCGCGCGGTGTCTAATAATGTTAGCAAGGCCGTTCTTCCCGATGTACCGTGAATGCCCGCGCACATTACGACACGTTCCTTTGCAACGAGACCCCGAGGAACGCCGAGAGGGACGGAACTCGATAAATCAGCACCGCCGCGCGCGCGAGACCGACCTGGCACGCGTTACCTTTTATTACAGGCCGACTGAGGAAAATTGGAAGATTCTTAGGGACAGCAGTCACACCGGAAACACGCGGAAGGGGAGCATGTTTCTGTCGGTTTTAGCGCGCGGACACGCGAATACTGTGCCGAGAGATTGCGCGGATTACGTGGCCGAGTAGTTGGCGTATTTTCGGTCCGTTTCGCTCAAAGTTCTCGGGGAAAACAGCCCGAATTGTCGATCGTAGCTTAACTGTGAATAAAACGAAGCTACCTTCGAGCAACGTTTTAATCATCGATTTTGTCGAGTGGTAGAAAATATTTGCAACTTTTGGCTCTTTGCATCTCGGCCAATTTCCTCTCAAATTTCAAATTTTTCTAGAACCTTTCGGCCCATCTGGATACGGAGTTCGATGCACGATTCGATTGATGTTGCAGGATTTTTTTCCACTCGCAAAGCTTGGGTTTCCTCTGCATTCAAATCTTTACTCGAAGTCGAATTTTTCAATGGATTTCCCCTAAGATTTTAGACTATTTAACAGCAAACATTTAACAATTCACCATTTTACATATATTTTTATATATATTTTATATATTTACAACACATCTTTTTTATAGATCTTCTCCGATATGTCGATAAACCAATGTTTTGAAACGACTTGAGAATTTTAACGATCTTTTTTTACAACCATTCTACGCTTCGATCGTTTTAATGTCGCAACCAACGCTAGAATTTTCTTTTCTCGCGATGGGAACACTCGTCCCTTATTTACAACTCGATAAAACAATGATGACGAAATTTATCTGGCATTTGCTCAGCACAATAAAATAACTCAAATTCATCCTTACGTTAATCGTGTCCTGAAGTTAACATTATATATATATAAAGAAACTATCGCTAGAAAGCGAAAACACTAGCGAAATGATATAACAGTTAAACGCCATTGTCGTTGGCAGGCTGGCAAATTTCGAAACCGCGCAATTAGCATAACAGTGGTCCAGGAACACCGCTAATCCGGCCCCGGTGGAAGATAAAACGCCGTTACCAACAAACAGTTCCCCCTGCACGAAACTTTCTTCATTGATTAATCATCGGCCTCCATTCCGGCCGAGTGCCGAAAAATCACCTAACCACCGGCAACGATATTTCCGGTTCATCGTTCCACGAAATATGCATAAATGCATGTTAATTTACGCATATGAAATGAATCGTGAAAGTATGAAATAACGAACGATCGATCGATACTACTGCCTGAATAATCAGAGACTTTAAAGGGGGCGATTCGTAATTTTTCATGGGAATGAAATTTTGACAAAATTTACAGTGTACTTGTAGAAATTAGAATTTTGCTACTTTGAATGCCAAAGGAAGATCCTTGCAAAAAGTGATTTCTTGAAAGACTAGTTAGTTAAAATTATTTACGATCACTTGGCTAATCAATTTGTGAACTTTTCACAGAAATTCGACAGATTTCACGCCTGTGAACAACTAAAACAGGATGAACATCATCCGTCGAGTAATCTCGATAATATCACGAAATAAAAACCGAAAATATTGCAACGTAATATTTTATGAAAATTACGAATTGCGATGAAACGTGCAAAAATTAGGAATCCGAAATTCTATCACCAGTGAAAGTGATGGAGCTAAAACGGACTATCGGAATTCTATTAGCTTTGATAAATTATTTTCGCGACATCCGAACATTTGCCTAGCGCATCACTGACGAGACGTGGATGAACGATAGTGAATGAAGGAAGGGCGTACATCACGGCCCGGAATATTAGACCAAAGTAACCGGAAGTGAGTCAGCGCTGCGTGACTATGATGTATGTAACATAGATCAAAGCCAAAATTAGGGTATCTTTCTCCCCTTGAGTTCCGCAATCGGTGTCGTAGATGTCAGCGAAACGCGTTTCCGTGCATCGTTGAATAATTTTTCAATCATCTCTGATCGCTCGAACGATACAACGAATAAAGTGAAAGCAACGTTACCTTGCGTGGTTTTGCCTTGCGTTCAGTCACCGCCTCGAGTCGTCGTACGATCTGGAAACAGAAGAAACGGAGTTCGTTAAATCAGTCGTTTCGTTCATCGGCGATTAAGCCGTTTTCACGCGAGAAATTTCGCGAGTGGATTCAAATCAGCTATTTCGTTCGCCATTGAAGAACTGATTAAGTCGTTTTCACGCGAGAAATTTTGCGAGTGGATTAATATCAGTTATTTCGTTCGTCATTGAAGAACTGATTAAGCCGTTTTCACGCGAGAAATTTCGCGAGTGGATTAAAATCAGTTATTTCGTTCGCCATTGAGGAACAGATTAAGCCGTTTTCACGCGAGAAATTTCGCGAGTGGATTCAAATCAGTTATTTCGTTCGCCATTGAGGAACAGATTAAGCCGTTTTCACGCGAGAAATTTCGTTCGTTTCAATATCTGAATGCAAATTGATTTAAATGCAAATTGAACGATACGATCGAGATACAATCGACTCGATCGAAAGAAACCGTTACGTTCGGAGAATGTACTTTCACCGAATGCCACAATGAATGAGAAAAATGACAATAGCGATCGTAGAAGCGCGAAATCGATTCGACGCGGCGACATCCGTAGACGGCACAGCCGGCGACTCTCCTTTTATCGATTTGCAACGACGGATCGGCAAATGCTAATTAGCGCGCGCTCTCGTGTAAAACGGGAATTGGTTTTTACATTTGGTTTCTCCGCTTTCACAGTTTCAGCGGCGAGCAAACAGCATTCTGCAAATGTTCGTTTGAAAAGTGGAAGTTGCATTAATATAATTTGGTAATAGTTATGGTCTTGGAGTTCTATTCCTTGATTTACTACTTTCCTAAACAATCACTTCTTTACTACCATTTTGATAATTACTTATTTCAGTCTAATCGTTGTAGAACATGCGAAAAAAAAAAATATAATAGAAAACTATTGAGAGTTGGAATATTGAACTATTTAAGGTAATTACGAAACACCTAATTAGAAAAAATAATGAAGCTAAATAAAAAATAGAAGAAACTGTAGTTTGCGAGTAAAATGCAAGAAACGAAGAAAGAAATTTTATTTGTGTATATTTTTATTTCCTAAATGGCGTTCAATATTACTAATTATGAGAACGAGAAATAAATATTATATATGAAGAAAGAGAAAATATATTGCACAATATTAATATAATATTATATTATATTAATGGCATAATAATATTGAACATATTCAATAATATTACATACAGATGACAATTTAAAATACTACGTATAAAACTGTAATGCTAGCAATCCTTCATCGTACTCAATCATCTTGCAATCGATTGCTCGTAAACGCTGTTTGGCATGTGGTTTAATTAACCGAAGGAAAAACATCGGAAGTTGGTGATGATGCTGACCGTGAACTAATAGAGCCAAGCGTTACGCGCCATTACTGAAGTTCACGGGTCAAAGTTCGAACGACTATGCGTGAGTATGTCGGTCATGAATGTTTATACATCGCGTGGTCACGAAACGATTGACCTCAATATATTAGGTCGCTTTTCAACAAGCTTTCCCACAAATCTGCGTACCCGAGTTCTCTCGGCAACTATTTCCAGAAATATCGCTAGTTCTGCGACCACAAACTAGCTAAACTAGCTCCATGCGTATTGACGTTATTGATTATTCCAATAAAAATTGGATTCGTGCTTATCACGCTTCAAATTTAATCTTAACTTCAGATGAAAAATGAGAGGACAACTTTTTCAACTCAATTCACAGACGTTGCTTTTAGCGCGATTGCGGACCATAACGAGTGACCAAACCCGTTCTGTTTTATTTAAATATACTTAAATCTGAGAAAATATTACAATTTCGGAACAAAAAATTCTCGACGTGCGTGGCACGTCATTCCAGTGCAAAAGATTAAAATACCTACTATTCTGTTTTAACTCTTGTGCCGTTTAACAAATTAAAGAGCCGTTTAATCGTAAAATCCTCTATAAACGTCAAAACTCCATTACCTCTTCCTGAGATGTTCGAAATGTCACTCGACGCTAAAACTACCAGAATTAAGTGGACCATGTCAACTCGTAATTGTCTCTGGAAATTTTACAGAAACTCACAGCCATACAGTTTTCAGAAATTTTTTCGTAAATTTTTCGATTATGTACGTTATTCTAAATTTCCTCGTGTTTCTTTTTTTCGCACTCGTTGTAATAACTATCGTAAATGATCCACTGTCAAGGAAGTTGCTCTCAATCATCCCACGGTTTCATATCTCGTTCAACAATTCTAAAGTTGAACCTAAATTACCGACTGAGACTCTGCTTGGATTTAACGTGAACCATTAAACAATCACGGGTGAACACTCGGGTGTTCGTTCACTTTCGCTCGTCGTCTCGAAATTCGACTAGACGAGCGACTCGCAACCGGTCGACCTGGTTCAATTTTTAAACCAGCCGAAACAGTCGAACGATGGAGGGGACGTAGGAAGAAAACAGAAGAGGAAAAAGAAACAGAAAAAGAGAAGGAAAAGAAAATCGAGTGCAACGAGTGCGTGCATCGATGTATATACGGCCGAGCACATTCAGAAATAGCCGGCGCGGTAATAAAAGTTCTGAGAAGATGTGCGAACTCGTCGGCTGTCACCAATTATGGTGGTGCCGTGCACCGAAATATTGAAAGTAATTGCCTGGATCGTGTTACGTGGAATCGCCACGCCGATATAAATTGTCGCGGAGGATCGGTTTGCTCCCTGGGAAAAATATCTGGAGAGTTGGCGCACACGCGCGAGCATGATTCGCCGCGTGAAAGTGAATTCGGAGACGCGGAGTCTCGGGTGTCTTCGTTCTTTCCTCGCTTTTATTTTATTATGGTTATGTCGGAAACTATAAAAAAAAAAAGTACCGTGTCACGCGATAAGAATATTTTTTAGAAAAAATTTTATGTAAGAGAAGACGTTTTTTTATGCTGAACGTTCTCTTCTTCTTTTTTTTTTTTTTTTTTTTTGTAAATCTCCAGAAATAGTAAACTGTTTTAAATTTTATGTGAATATCGGCAATATCTTACGATATTGTAATTTTAAACGTCTCACGAAACTGACATTTAAAATTTTATTAGAGCTCTGATTAATTTATGCGACAGCATAAATGAAAATTAAATCGATGTTTCAGTTTAGAAGACCGGCGAGCATAAAGAGATTTGTTTCCTCTTCTTTCAGAAATTCGCCGAGAAATTTTGCTTCTCTTGTATATTTCAAGCTTTTCGTTATCTTTCCTTGAAAGCGTCTCGTCGCGTTGTTCTTATCTTTGCAGTAACTTCCAGTACTTTTCCTGCCTCCTCTTCATGCGCAACTTGGCGAGATTTTCTTCATTTTTCCAGCGAATTCTTCAAACTTCCTTCCGTTTTGCATTAACCTTCTTGCGCTCTATTTTTTTTTTTCCCATCGAACTTATCAAAAATATTCTAAACGAATTCCCTCGCTTACTTGCATCATCTTCTAACACGGTAACTTTTTTTTCTTTGCTTCTAAATTAATCAAATTTCGCTTCAAAATACAAATAAAAATAGTGATCATTCATAATAATATATTCAGGTAAACAGATGACATTGTTTCCCTCCAATTTGACTATCGAATATTTAAAGAAAAATACCCAGAAATGGAAAGGAACGTTTTTATAATCGATATTTACATTCTAGTCGAATTATTAAATCTTCCTGCTCGTCGAAGAAAGCTTATCCATGCTCCTGCATTTTTACGAGATTCAAGTTCGAAATAAATGATCAAAACCTGGAATTTTCGATTTTCAAGTTCTAGAATTTACTAGAAAAAAAATTTCTTTCTAGGTCGTAAAAATCTCTCTCTTATATCTCTGTCACTGCTGTAATTTACTTCATCCACACTTTCCGAGCTAATCCTATCCTTTGTGGCGTGACGGCGCGTCTGTCGTAAACGGGTTGTGAATTTGACGATAAATCCACGTGCGCGTGTCAGGAATTTCGTTTCAGATCAGACATTGACCAACGACGACGCGCTGTTAATTTCCAAGTTTATCAGGAAATCGGGGAAACGAGTTATTCGTTCGTACGATGAAACCGCAGTGTTGGCGCTCGACGCACGATGGACGCGGCCCGCAGATGTCAGGATTTGAATACGAAAAGACGGTGAGAGTCGGCTCGCGTCACGACGACGCCGCGTACCGTTCGCCATTGTCTCCATTGTTGACGTGACTCGACACAATCGTCGCTGGACGACAACAGAACGATCGAACAATAGGCAGAACGCGAGTCCGGCCGCGACTCTCCAAGCGACATTCCGAGTCGTCCTTGTGCTCGCTCTTCCGAGAAAAGAAAAAAATTGACAAACGACGGGCGGTTCTCGCGAACTCTGACGCGAGTCATCATTGAACCAGCTCGATGATCACGTCGTTTCGCTATTCGAGCGTGAGTCCCCACTCTCGACGATCTCTCTTTTGACAGCAGTCTTTTGACATGCTAATATTCTTTTCGTCGAAAGTGGTTTCACGTGGCTGGCCGAGGCATCTCTTGCCTTTCGAGTCGATTGTCTTTGGCTTTGTCATAGTCGGTAGGCTGTGCATTTCAAAGCACGTGAAACGTAACGAGTAAACGTAACGTCGTTTGTTCGATACTGTACAAAATTTTATTTTTTAAATTATTGTTAAATTTGAAAAAGAAACTATACTTGTGGGTAGCCCTGATACGTAGCGGAAGTTTCAAGGCTTGAAAACAGTTTTCCACTGTGCCTTTTTCATTTTATCATTTTACACTTTACAAATTTGTACGAAATACTAGTTTCTTTGAAATAGAAATGTGTTGCACACGGAAGGAATTATACATGTGAAATTTGCTAAGCGGTTAATTCGAGTATCGCATTATTTTATTATCGTCAGACAACTTACAATTAAGGCTTCAATACAGACGAACCGCGAAAGGCTTCTGTCTTTAATTCTTAATTGATTCGCCACGTAGTCAACATTGTTTTCCTTGCGAAAGGAAACGGGTGAATTAATTCTGCACGATCTCCTCCGATTATAAAGAATTTACTCCG